AGTTTCATCTGTTGGAACCATGACACCTGTATTAAAACTTAACATTTGATACATCTTGTGGCTTTTTTTTGCCTTTTTTGTTTTGGGAAGAGTCTTTTCATAAAGAGGACATATCAAAGGAATTTGGAGTTCGTCAAATTTATGTGGTTGAGTATTTCATCTTGAGAGCTACAGATGGGGATTGGAAGATGTGAAACAGTCAAAGGGCTTGAAAATAATAAAGCTACTTGCTTTTACTCTATGAAAAATGGCTTTGATGTCAAATGTGGCTTGCTGGTCCATATTACTTTGCAGAATACAAGTACAATGAAAACATCTATATATTATATGGTTATGGGAAATTACCTCACCCACATATAACTACTTGTAACTTTATAGTCAGAACAGTTCCCTGCCAAAGCTTCAAGGGAAAGGGAAAGATGTTGGATTGAACATTGTGGGACAAGGACTTTGTTCTTCTCTGCAATTGGTATGGGAGTAGGATTTATATTTATATGGATGTATTTAAATGCACAGGTACATATTGCATACATATATGCATGGATTCACATATACACACATATTTTCAGATTGTATATGATTAATGTCAAGGAATTGCATAGCAGCTGTTCAACTGAAGTTTGAGACAGTAGCACAAACTTGTAATCTTAGAAAACCACTACATATACCTTGGACAATGGATCTCAATGGAAGGCGATATAATAAAGGAAATTGAACAGCATGTTAAATGTGGTTGGCAGGCATTCAGCAAGCTAAGCAAAATTTTCAAGAACTCCCCCCTATGCCCAAAGAGAAAAGTTTTCGATTAGTGTGTGCTACCTGCTCTAATATATGCCAGTGAAACATGGACACTAACCTCACAATCAATACAAAAGCTACAAGTGGCGCACAGAGCCATAGAAAGATACATGCTCAGCATTACAAGACAAGATAGAAAGACCTGCAAATGGATTAGAGAACAAATGAAAGTATATGATATCATCAAGAGAGTAAAAGAAGTGAAATGGAAAGAACTGAGGAACAAGAAGAACTGATGGCAGGTGGACCAAGGCAGTCATAGAATGGATCCCACTTGATAAAAAGCTTCCACAAAAGAGATCTAAAACAAGATGGATTGATGATATCAGCAAGTATTGCAGGCCCAATTGGCAAAAGAAGCTCAGGACCATAATGATTGGAAACGTGGGAAAAGCCTTCATCCTGCAAGGGATAGACAGTGGCTAAAATGATGATGAATGATGATATTTAACATTCAAACCTACAACAGTCTTTGTCATAATACATAAAGAAAGAATGCAAGATAATCAGGAACACAGGAATATCTTAGGTAGATTAAACAGTATACAGAACACACAGAAGAAAATGGCGGGGAAAAAGGAAGTGCCTCCTTTACACTTGCAGCAACCAATCATAGCATAGATTATCTCATGCATGAGTCAGTACTCTCTAACTAATCAATCACAACTATGTGTTCTGGCCTATTGTGCACTTTATTGTTCCAGCTACTAAATTCAATATCCTAACAATTTATTCACTGAGAGTATTGAAATCTTGGGGCTATAAGGATAATATTTAATCCAAGCAGATAGTCTGAAAATATGCTGCCTTTTCACAATCTAAATCTTAATATATTGAAAAGCAAATCTTGCAGTCTTACTATGCCCCTCATGTCTGTGGGGGACACACTTGTTTCCACACTTGCTTGACTATGGAATGATCTGTTCTTATATGCCAAGTCCTGCTCCTGGTTAATGTAATGTTGGGATGAGGATATGATCAATGGAGGTTAGAACGATAGTCCAAGGCCAGCTTGGAAAGCATATTTTGCTTTTGAGAGCAGGCTATTCCTTTATTTCTTCAAAATGGGGCCAAAGCAACCTCACCTACCTCTGCTTCTGCAGCTAGATTCCATAAAACTGGAACAACATTAAATATCTCTCTTTCCTAACCATACGAATCCTGAAGAAGCTTCTTGAATGAGAAGCAAAACATCTTTAAGGAAAAACAAAGAAAGTCCAGTTGCCTTTTGAAAAAGCACCTTTGGGACAACCATGACCTGAATGACTGAGAATCTCCATAGACAACCATATGAATCAGATTCTGTTTACAGCACGGGTATTTTCGTATTTACCACATATCACTGTTGCACCCATCTTTCTAATACTAATTATTTTCTAAAACCAACTGTACAGCTTGTAAGCCCCGTGAATCTTGGTAATTATTTATTTCTATATACTCCACCTTTATTATACCAGTTCTCTCTTTATTCTTTGTTAGCAACCTAAAAATGTAAAATGATGTCGCAGTTGGCGACTGCTGCTTGTGGATGGCTCTGGATTGAGCTGATACAGGCAAAAGAAAAGAAAAAGAAAGAAGATTTCTTTCTCCCATATTTGGGCTGACAGGGTGCACATTCAAGGTAATATATATATATATATATATATATATATATATATATATATATATATATATATATATAATTTATAAATAACTCAAAGAAACAACCATACCTAATGCTCCTTCTTCCTTCTATTTTCTCCACAACAAGAAAATCCTATGCATATTTGTAGATACATCCAACAGAATGGAGGAGTTATATTTTCTCAATGAATTGCCAATGGGGCAGCCCATAAATTTTTGACAGAAATATTTACTTTCAGGCTGTAACCTGTCCTAAAAACCCAGTTCTGGGGAAATTTTTTTTTTAAAAAATAGACTCCTTGATATATTAGGATATAACTTTTCCAAATAAATTGTACTAATTATAGGTTTCTGGAAGGATAATCAAGTATATTCTTGAAATCCGTTTTTAAAAGCATCTTAATGTTTTTTCTTGGCCAGTACTTATTAACCCAGCTGTTTTGTATAAAATATTTTTCAAGTAGCTTTTTTTTCTTGCAGTCATTTTGTCAAGCTTAAGTCAGGATTAATTTGACTGCAGGTGTCAGATTAAAAAAAAAAACCCTCTTCTTCCCACCCTGCTAGGAACATGTGGCCAAAATGCAAAAGCATGACAGGTTGGTGGTCCAAACATTGGAAGATTAAAGCTGCAAATACATTTCTTGCTCTGCCTGGAAAAGTTTTTGCTTGCAAGATGGACATGAGAAAAGTGGCACACTGTTTTCCAAAATTCCCAATGAGTGTAAGCAAGTGATTGGAGTGGACTTAGCTTTAATTGCAATTTCTCTAATTTCATAAAATAGAGAAATTAAGAACATGCATAGATCATACACAACCGCTATTTCTGTTGACCAGTTTGCCAAATCAGTGTACTCATCTATCACAGGCTGGATCTTACCTTATCTTACCATCTAAAGAAAAATGGGTTTCTTTACTAGTCTCCCCCTCAGTCTGCTTCACACAAATAACCCTTTACCTCTGCTCTTCTGCAACTCCATCTCTACAACTTTGCTTGTTGATTTGTTTGGACACCATCTGCTACATATAATAAGCCAAGTAGCTGGAAAAATTGCCAGCAGTGAGAAAATGACCATAATGTTATGCTCCATTTGAGGGGATCACAACAGTTTGAGGGAATTTCCTTCTCTTTGCAACAGAACAATGCAAATGGCATGATGCCTAAACAAGTTCTCTCTCACTTTTGTAGGATGGCTTTTAAGGTCACCCTTTGAAACAATTTGACAGAGTTAAACATCCACCTCACAAAACAGAATAAAAGAAACCCCAAGCAAATGTTTAAAAATCTATAGTTAGACACATTTAAAAACAAATCTAAATTTAGACTGCAGCACGAGTTTAAATTATTCCAAATATTGAGCAGAGTTATCCTCTATGACAGTTGTCCCTGTTTTCAATCTTTCCATGTTTGCATCTTTCTTGAAATAAATATGGATGCATCAGTTGGCAATAGCTACAAATGAGCTGTAAAGACCGCTTGCAGGTAATAGACAGCTGAAAATGGAAGGTGTGTCATGGCATAGAATTACCACAGGGTGGTGGAAGCAGTGCAGTTCCCCTTATGCACCAGGGCAACTTTGAAAAGAAAGAAAAAGAAAAAAAAAGGGAGGGGAATCCCTCCTGGAAGAATAATTTGTGAGTCACTTTGTCTTAGATTTAGTTTTTTTTAAAAATGACAGAAATTAAGTTTAGCTCATGGAAAAGCCAGATGGCTAAGCTCTTGACCTATTTATCAACCTTCCTGCTCTCTCTCTACTCCTAGCCAGAATTACAGAGATGACAATATTCTAACGTTCCATGCAGTGGCATCGAGTTTGAAATAAATTAATTTTATGTCCATTTTAAGGAGAGAGAGAGAGAGAGAGAGAGAGAGAGAGAGAGAGAGAGAGAGAGAGAGAGAGAGAGAGAGAGAGAGAGAGAGAGAGAGAGAGAGAACAGGCTAATGAGGAGGGGCTATGTGTACTGAATTGCAGACTGGTTGTGAGGAGGGTGCTGGCTCACAGCTCTTTGTCTGAGATCTGTCAAACAAAATCTTTTGCGTGAATCAAGCTAAGATTTCACGCCAGGCAATGAGAACTCTTTGGGCTTCTTGGACATAAAGATGCACAGTTCCAATTTCAGAATCCTTTACTTGGGATCTACTTTATGTAAATAATACTTTGCCATGTGTGGGTGTGGGTGTGGGTGTGTATGCATAAGGGGATCAGGGTAAGAGTTTAGGGGAAGTTAAACTCATGAACAATATTGTTCCATTCTATATCCAGTGCCTGCTAATTTAGCATTAAGAAAAAAGAACCATAATGACAAGCATTAGCAACTGGATAGAGTGGGTAACTTGCTGTTCATAGAATATTTTCCACACTGGCCATGGTTACTTAAGCACTGTTTACAAGATGAACTATGGATGCTAAACTATGCCTAATATTCCACCAATTTGAAATAGATTGCAGCTCGGGTTCAATAAGGTGTACATAATGCCACATTTAAAAAGGTTAATAAGAGCTGAGCAGGATGTTTCAGAATTATGCAAAACCTCCTTCAGATGTGTTTTCCGTATTTATCTCTTCCTGCTTTCATTGCAGAAGAATGGACAACAGCTACGACAAATCTGAACAAGCCATAGTGCATAAAACAGGTGAGCCTTTCAAGGCAATATACAGAGTTATCTTTATGGGTCAACAGTGTATCTTTATAGTACAAGGTCTTCATTGTGAGGGGGAAAAAACAAGACTAATTTGTTAATTGTCACTTTTGGAAAAATCTGGAAAGGAATGGGGAAGGGGGAGAAGCATTAATTTATTTTCAAAACTGTCTAGAAAATTATAAGGTATTTCTGTCCTCCCTGCCCAAATCTTTTCTTTCAGCCTTAAAACAGAGTTTGGGTTTTTTTATGGATATACAATATTTGTGCTGTAGTACTTCTCTTTATAGTATGATTTGTTAGTTATTCTTTTATTGATGGAGTGTCTACATCTGGTAAGGTCTACAACCGCACCTCTTTGACAGATCCAGATGCCGTGAAGATAAAATACCTCCTGTGTAAGGAACAGGCCAGAATCAGGATCTGTGAAGGTTGTTCTTAAAATAATCCCAACATCTTACTTCTCTGTCAGAACTTTGGTGCTGATCTTTTAGAGCTACTCTTTAAGGTAACTTTGTGTTTCTGTGCTTAATTCAAATGCCTTAATATATGAACCTTAAAAACAGCACGTAGCAGTTTTTTTTACTTGATTTATCACATTGATAACCCTCAGAGAAAACATGTGTTCAGATCATATCTGATAAGGAGTTATTCAACTGCAGGAAAGGGTCACTACTTGGATGGCAGATCTCATCATTCATTGCATAGTTAATCTCTTAAATATTCTAATTGTAGAGGATCATCATTAGTATTTCTTGGCAGTGCACCGAAGCCTAAATTTCTGTATGTGAAACTTAAAGTCTTGGAGCACTTTTAAGTCCCCAGTTTTATCTAGCTTTATATACATATATGCCTGGGAGGGAGTGGGGGGAAGATGTGTGTGTGTTTTTTTCTTTGTGCATTTACCTTACACACAATGAAGAGAAGGGTATGATTTGTGCCAGAACTGATTATGCTGAATAATTTAGTTTTGATGTTGGCCTCTGTAAAAAAATTACTACATAAGAATCCTAAATCCATCTCCTTAATTTTATACCACACTGTTTATCCATTCTGTAAGATATCAAGATCTTACTGTGGATCCTATGAAGGAGAATGCACTGTAGAGTTGAAAGTGTTACATTAAAAACTTAGTCCTCAAGGCCACTAATTGCTGTGGAATCCAAAGCTCTTTCTAAATCATAGCTACAAAAGAGGAAGGGAATTAAAATACCATGCATCATATTTAACAGACTATTACTGCTACAACATAGGTCTGTGGCCTTAAATGTACTAACTTCAACCCGGTTTTGTGTCCATATCTTAGATCTTCATAGAGATGCCTCTACAATCGGTGCCGTTTTGTATGACTCCAAATATCCATCTATTCACTGTACGAAGGAAAAGTCAACTCTGTACATTTTTACAGACTTAGCATGCCTGTAAAATCCATCATTGGCAACTTTCTCTAACCTCCACCCCACCCCAATAAGTTTTCGCACATTATTTGGGGCAAATGAAAACCATTTACCTTTTTTTTTCTAGAGAAGATTTACTGAGATGTCTCTCGTCTGTTTTGCAGATGTGCCTTGGTGAACTTAACAGTAATGCAGACTGTCATCAGGGCTGTCTTCAGATCTTCGAAATCGTTTTTTGCATTGCACAGTACATATTTTATTGGATGTTTGCTCGATCGGAATATATATCTAGCATTTGTGTGTGGGCACATATGTGCCTGCCATTGTAAACACTTTTGGTGCAAGCTGCTTAGTAATATCAAGGTTTTTGTATTTCTAAGCATATATTTACAGATATCTAAGGATTTCCAGAACAATTAGAATAAAAGAAGAACTGTAGCTTAATAAGTCTTCTGCCTTTTAAATTACTTACATCTTTCTTTTATAGAATAAAATACCAGTTTGTATTCAGTCAAACAATTAAATAAGAACACTTCCATCCAATGTTTTTCTCATGTCTATATTTTCTTCCCAAACTCTTATACTTTTATAAATTGTTGCAAATGTTTTGATTAATATGGTATTGTTCTATAAGTTTTGAGTAGCTCATATATTACAGAATTCTAAGGAGATGAGATATATAATACAAAGCTGGAGTAAGAAAACCCTTTTTCCATGTTTGACAAAGCTAGCAAATTGCACATCATGTCCATTCTTTCATGATCCAACTATATTTTTAATTATCCCTTTACACTGGCACTCTAAAGTATTAGCCTCAATATGCTTGATACTTTCATTATAACTTTTTTGTTAGGTTTCAGTAGAAATAGCTTTCCATTCCTCACATATATAAATGGGTAATTTGTGCCAATGAAATCAAGAGGGGTGTTTCAAAATTCAAGTAAATATATTGTTATGTCAGTAATATGGAGAGAAAGTAAGAGAGACAAGAGGAAACCTTTAATATTCAGGCTTGGGGTGCTTAATTATTTAAAAAGAGGAAGGTTAAGTAAAGAAAAACTAGAATTTTATGGTAAGAATATGGTCCTTTAGTGTTATTTAATGATCATTATCTTAACAACCAGCTGGTTTTAAACAAACAAATACATACATACCAAGCTTACCAAAACTTTGAATACCATTTTTTCCTTGTGATTTTAAATCCACAAAACAAATACCTCACTTTTTGAATCAGAGTCACAGACTTCTTAAGAGAAATTTAGTCCAGGGCTTAAATATATACCATTTTAGAGTTCTGAATGGTACTTTGGGGGGGGGGATAAACATTTAAAACATTTAAAATAATACTTGGGCTGACTTTTAATTATTTCATGCCTGTTTCACTCTTATAATACTACAGCTATCAAAAACAAAGATTGGTTCAAATATAATTATTCTGAGACATAAGTTTTCCTTTGGAATTATAATGTTTAAAGCACTAACTGTAACAAGAGTCAAATAAAACAGCCTTAGATTTAATCTGAAATTAGCCAAACCAATTATAAAATACTTAATACAATTTAGGGCTTAAAAGGAATCACCAGTATAACCAGGTTTATATCATTCTGAGCTAAGTCAAAATGGATGTCCAGGCATGTTTATTTGATCTACTGCTCTATCATTCAATTATGAATTACTTATTTCACCCATCTTTAATTTAAAAAAAAAAAAAATCCAGAGAGCTGGATTTTAAGTTAAACTGGTTAACTTAAACTGCTACAAGAAAAACTACAGAGTCTTGCAAAACCATAAAGAATAATCATTTGCATTCCACTTTTAGAGACTACACTCTATTTCTAATTAATGCCAAATGTCTGATATGTTAATCTGAATCCCTTTAAGTAGAAGTCAATCTAGCTGAAGTCAGTGGATTTCACTGCCTAAGAATCATTTTAGGGCAATAGTAGAAGTTATAGAAGGGTACAGATTACAGAAAGAAAAATACCCTTTTATGCTTCCATTCCTTTATCTGAATGGTTGTTTTGCTCTCTGCTCTCTAAATAGCTGCTTTAATACTCTATATCAGAGTTTGGGAAGATGATGTTTTATTTTCTACCCTCACTGCTTTTATCCATTTGTTTTATAATTATGCTTTTATTGAATCTGTTTTCATCGTAAGCTGGTTGATGGAGGAAAAATTGTTGTTAAAGGTAAAGTAATAATGTCACAATTACATAGCTTTAATTACATTATTGCTCATTGAAATCCCAATTTTTCAGAGGGTCTGTTCTAAGTAGGACTAAATCTAGATGCAATCCAGCAATGATCAGTGAGTTAATAAATCATGTACTGTAAGTGAATATGAATGAACAAGACGACCAGATGAAAATGAAAGAAAAATCAGCAGAAGTATAGAGTAATGTGAGCTTAAAAGTATACTTTCTGTGCCACAGTTATTTATTTTCCTCATGTACACATATATGTTTCATGGAAAATACCATTAAACATTTATTAGCTATTTATTCTGATAAGCTACAGCTAGCTGGAGATCCTTGACCACAAGTCCCCATATGTTTAGGGATATGCTATATGTTTCATAGGAGAAATGGGAACCTATAGTTCTCTTAATGTTACTGAACCACAACTATGCATTTATTTACTTATGGTATTTATTTCAACTGCAATCTAGAAAACTCAGTTTGCAGTTGAAGACCTAGCAAAGCATGGCCAATAGTGATGAATGCCAAGAATGATAGGTCAGAACATCTGGAAACCAACAGGGTGAATACAAGATTTAATTGGCCTGATATTACTTAATATAGAAGCTATTATGTCTAAAATATTGTTATATAAATAAATGTAATAATAATAAAATGTTCAAAAGCACTAATGATGGTTTGGGTAAGGGATCTTTAAGAAAACAATCAAACTCAGAAAGCACCAAGGACCTTTCAACAGATACTCTGTTTTATAGGATATTGTTTGGCAAATTCCTTCCACATTCCCAGCAAGCACCCATCCTTGGTAGATCATCCCTGAAACCTAGCCCTTATTTATCACCAATACTCTACATTAAATTATAATCCAAAAGGAAGTTAGATAATAACAAATGCAAATAGCAAATAAATTCCTATTTAGCAGTTCATAGTACCACCAAATTACATCTGGAAGACCTCCCAATTTGCACCCACTTCATGAATTAGAGAGGGAGAAGTCATCAACTATTGCCAGAAAAGAGTTATAAAGAGCCACAACTTATACAGTTCCAAATTTAGCAGAACACAGTACAAAAAAAACCAAGCAACAGGAAGGTTAGTTATGCATCCTAGTATCTTACACATAGAGACTAGTAGCATAAGATCTCAGAATCTCTGTGTGAGAAGCCAGCCAAGTCCAAGCTGAGCTTAACTCTTGAAGCCCCCCCCCCCAAGAACTTCATGTGAATTTTCCATTTTTGGAGATGCCCCAATACTCACTCACCCTTTAATTGGATTGGAACAATGGCTATGATCCTGAAAGAATGAACTGAGTCTAGCAAAGCTGGTAAGGGATATATTTGACAACACTGCTATTAAGAAAGCAAAAATCTCATTATGTCAATCCTAAAATAAAATTCCATGTTACTAAGCTAAATTACCTTCACAACACTGCAAAATTAAAAGAGGAAATGAAGGAAGAAAGGGCTGAGAACTGGTTACAATAATGACTGATATTACTTAAGGCTATTCCTCCAGGATTTTCAGGTTCCTTCCAGGAAAATCTGACCCTGGGACCTGATCTTGACAATCTGTTTGGCCAATCCACTGAGATATTCAGCATAGCTGCAGGATCCCCTGGGCCAGGAGGTGTACTGTCTGTGAAGGCACTAAACTTCCCCTGTTTGCCATACAAGAGTGGAAATTGTGATCATCAGGTGCCTGATGAGGGATATGGTAAGTGGGCATTCCAGATGTTCACCCAACTTCAAGAATGCACCTGCATATCAGATTGTTTTGAAAACTGCAGCAATATTTCAGAAGAGGAAAAAAGACATTAGTAGGACTCATCTTCCAGCCAAAGAACACAAAGAGTTCGCTAAAGGTACATAAATCAGCAGGCAAATACTTGTGTTTCCAGATGTTTCATGTCAACCACTCGGAATCACAGAGTTAAGCCTATGCTTTAAAAATAAATATGTGGTGGAGTACTAGTTGTTCAAGAAATATGATGGTTGACTTAAGTGTTTCAATTTTATGTTATTTCTCTCCCACAAGGCTCAGGCCACACAATGTTCAGCTCTTGGAGTTTGAGTCAACTTGGTCAGATGGATAGCTCTTCATCTTTGTCTTTCCATCCTGTTTGGATTGTGAAAAAACACAATGTCTCTAGCGTATGGTATTTTATTACTGTTGGTGTTATCTTCAAGTCACTATTTGATTCTGGCAACTGCCCTGAGGTTTTAGGAATTAGTTTGCTATTGCCTTCTTCTTATGGATGAGAAAGAGTAACTGGCCCAAGATCTCCAGCTGGCTTTGGACCAAAAACAGGACTAGAATTCACAGTCTCCTGGCTTCTAGCCTGGTGCCTTAACCATTACACCAATCTTGGCTTTCATTTAAGAGATTGATATTAATATTATTCAGTATTATACATTGCAATGTTATTGTGTTGTATTATATAGATTGATAGTAATATTTCAGCCTCGAAGAAGGAATATCTTTCTGCATTTAAGCATGTTCCTTTTTCTTTGTTTTCAAACTTTGCTGGCTACAGCCCAGTTCACACACAACTGAATTCTCCTGGGGGCCTGAGGCACAATTCCTTTTAGTACAGCATGTCCAATATAGGCTTTTAGTCTCAGATTAGTGAATTAAAGCAATGAAAATGAATTTCACATTCCAAATCTCCAAAATCCTAAAGAAATGCCACACTATGGGATCACACTAAATATAGCAGGATCAGCTTGCTGTTCCCGTTACAAAGTAAGAACATACTGGCAACTTTTCAGCCTGCAAATTCATTGCCGGGGGGGGGGGGGACAGGAGATCAGGGAGATGAAAAAATCAAATTTAAGGAAAGGGTCCCTCTGATTTTTTTTTAAAGCACAAGAATGCAATTGCCACTGGTATAACTGTAGTTGCAGTCCACCTGTGAGCAAGGGGGATTTGTGTGCTTAGAAGCTGGATTCAGCTCATAACTCATAAATAAAAAGAGAGAGGAAGATGGGGACTTTTTATATCCTCTGAGAGATGTTCACTCTTGTTCAAATGCACTATCTTCCAATACCTGTTCCTTAAGCTTAGACTTGCCCAAATGTTCTTACACTGGTCATATTCAATTACATTTAAACTCATCTTTAAAAAAAAAAAAAAGGAAACCGTGTATTATGACATGAGACTTTTTCACTCTCATTTTGAATTTTAAAAAATGAAACTGCTGTTTACTTAAAGTGCCCAGTTTTCATGCAGCACTGCACTGCCCATCAATTTAGTGCCTGAAAGAGCTGCATAGGAAGATGTCTTATGACCAACTCATAATATTTGGATCAGGTTTGAGA